AGGGGCAGAGATGGGGCTTAAGGACACCTGGCCTTAACTCTCTTCCCCAGACAAGGAAGTGACCCTGTGGACACAAGGACCAGGAGAGCTGATGTTTGAAAAGATTCTCTTAGGCCAAAATGCAGAGATGTTAAGTGTGATTTCTTCCAGAACATGAAAATAAGCTTTGAGTATCAATGACATTGACGTGACGAGAATTGAGCTTTCGAAACAGAGTGGCAGCATGTCCAGCAGCCTCTGTCCCCACTAGGGACTTCGGGGCCAAGGGAAGCTGAGCTGCAGTGGCTCTGTACGGCCACCTGGTTTCCAGAGACTCTGCCTCCTTGGCCAAGGAAATTGGGAATTTATCCTAACCCCATGAGTGAGTGGAGGGGTGGGGGTGGGGGTGTCTTTCCTCCCTAATCCATAATCCACCAGCGGAGTAGCAGGTGACCAGCAAGAGTGGGAAGGCTGTGGTCAGCCAGGCAGGGATGATGTGGGACAAGGGTAGAAACCCCAACCAACTCTGCTACCTAGTGGCTGTGTGACCCTGGCAAAGTCCCTTAATCTCTCGCTGCATAACTTTCTCAGGCTGTAGAATGGGGACAATAATAGCAAACATTTATATACACCCTGCTGTGTGCTAGTTACTAACCTAAGCACTTTATTTATGCTAACTCATTTAATCCTCACAACACCTTAGGAGGGAGGCATCGCCACCCTCATCCTACAGGTGAGGAGACAAAGGCACCGACAGGGGAAGAAACGTGCAGAGGGCACACAACTCGAAGAGGCAGGTGCGGGATTCTGTCCCAGGCCACCTGGGTCCATGGTGCGTGTGCTTCTCCGTGACAGGACACCACCTCTGTCCCCTTCATCTGGGACCCAGTGTTGTCAGGTGTGCTGGATAAAGGATGCTTTAGGTGCAAGTCAATCCATCAGGGGCTAGGATTCCTGCGTAGTGAATTCTGATGCAGGCAAGGTGAGGAGCGGTCCAGAGCCCAGGTCTGGGGCTTTGGGACCAATGGAGAGCGTCCACAGCAGTGATTCCAAAACTTGGGTCAGGTGAGCTAGCTGAGGATGGAGATCCCTGGGGTCCACCCAGAGGCTGAGTCCACCACCAGGGCCCAGGGATCTGCATTTCACATGGAAACACTGGCTGCAGGGTGAGCACTCAGGAGCACCACCCTCCACACTCCCTCCTGGCGGCAGCAGTTGTAGGAGGCAGAAAAGACCTCAGGCCACAGAGCCAGGACAAGCAGGTCCAGCGGCTCTGGCTCACCCTTGACCCTGTGGCCTCAGTTTCCCTGTTTGTAAGACAAAAGTGTTGCACCAGAGACGATCTCCCTGGGCCCTGTCCTCTGAGACGCTGTGATTCTGAGCCTGTTGGGCCCTGGCTGAGAAATATCCAAACGCAACTGCTTGGCCTTTCTCTGCTCTCTGTTTCCCTTTGATTCCGGGCTCCCAGAGGGAGGAATACAAAGAAAATAGCCATGACAGTAAACAACTGCTCCGCTGTGAGTGGGCCCATGCAGGGGGAAGAGGACCACCAAACTGTGGCCAGTGTGGCCAACGTCTGCTGCTTGATCAGCCCAGGAAGGCTGGGGAGCCCTCACAGCAACAGTGCATGTCTCCTCGGAGCCACCCAACACACGCTCAGGGCAACAATGGAGCCTGCACGTCTGGCAGAGGAGAAAGGATGCACTGGTTGCCTCTGGTCCAGCAGGTTCAGGGTGTTCCTGCTGCAGGGGCCTGAGATGCCTGGGCCAGCTGAGAACCCTGGGATTCCTGTGTCCATGCCACATGATGCTGGGAGCCCTCAGCAACCCCAACTGACTGACCTAGTGCCCACCATGTGCCAGGCACTGCTTGGGGATTCGTCACCTTCTTTACTTATCCAGTCCACACAGCAGCCTGAAGCAAGGGAGCACTGCTGTGCCCAGCTTACAGGTAAGGAAGCTGAGGCCCACAGAGACTCAAGGGTGGGTGTGGAGCAGCACAGCTAACAACAAGTGGCAGACCTAGCCCCCTGGAGTGCCTGACTCGCCACTGAGCTGCCTCCCCAGCTGGTGTTTATCACAGAATGGGAGGAAGCTCACTAGTTACAATGTTAACACTTCTTGCTTTGGATTAAGCTTTCCTGGCTCCAGGGATAGTCTGCTGGAGTCCTGAGCCCACTATAAGCAGAATCAGAGCAGAGCAGAGCAGAAGCAGCCTACTGATCAGAACCCTGCTAAGGTGTTGGTTCCAGGACTAAGGTAAGTCCGGGTAGAATTCTCAGGGAGGTGGTATGGAGGTAGCGACTCTAAGAGCCTGGAAGTTGGTGTTAGGAAGCTAAGTCCTGGGTGAGGCTTTGCAACCAGCCAGTGGGACCTTGGGACGTTGTCTTGTGGTCCCTGTGCCTCCGTGGGGCAGTTTCAAGGCCTTAAATGCTCCCCTGCACATTTCCAAGAGGATCCTCCTGACAGGGATGTTCACCATCCCTGCACTGGCCAGCAACCACCTTCTCAGTCCAGTGATGAGACCGAGAGCAATGATTCCCAAACCTCTCTGCAGTTAACATCACCTGAGGAGGTTTTAAAACGCCACATCCATGCCAAACTTTAGACCAATTACATCTGGATCTGGGCATGGGATGCAGGCATCAGTGGTTTTAAGGTTCCCCAGGGAGTTTGCAACCTGCCACCATGTGGAGACCCAGTAACCTGCAAGAGTGTGGCTCAGGCTTTAATGAGCCTATGATCGAGTCACCCGGGGTCTTGTTAAAGTGCAGGTTCAGAGTCAGCAGGTCTGGCCTCAGATTCTGCAGTTCTAATAAGCTCCCAGATGATGATATCCATGGATCGCACTTTTGTGTAGGAAGGGCTGACAATGTTGGGAATGGCAGTTCCCCCAGATGCTCGCTCCAGAGGGGAAGAAAGGGGCCCCCTGGCCATGTCTCACCACCCTCTGACAGCCCTGAGGGACACCAACATACTGAACTCTGAGGAGTCCTGCACCCATTTATTTTTGTTTGACCATTTGGCTTACAGCAGGGCTCAGGAACCTGGTGGGGGTCCTCATCTGTGCATTTTAGGGACCAGCCTGAGGGGTCTGTGAAGAGGATATGGAGGTGTGAACAGGGGATGATCTGAGTTAGAGGCCAGGCCCAGGGTTGTGCGGAGGGTGGTGCTTTTCTGCCTCACCTGCACACCTGTTCCTCTGTGACAAATGGTCTCAAGGTATTTATTAGACAGGTAGAGCTGTGAGTAGAGGAGGCTGTGAGTTTGGTGGGGGAGCTGTGTGTTGGGGGGCAGTAGATAGGGGTCCAAGGGAGGTGGGGGCCCATGGATGATGAGGGTCCATGGGTAGGGTGACCCATGGGTAGTGTGGGTCTGTTGGGGGTGTGGGTAGAGGGGCCATGAGTGTGTGTGTGGCCTATGGCTATAGGTGGTTGTGGGTTGGGGTAGGTGTGCGTGGTTGGGAGTCTCAGCACGTGACCCAACCAGGGTTTACAGTAGTGTTGTTCTTTTGTAGTTAGGTGTGATAGCTCCTGTGAAGTAACTAAAAAAAATGAAAACCCACAATTTTGTTTTTGTGAAATAGTAGTCCCCCCCCCCGCAAAAAAAGCCACCTGCTGCCTCCAATCATGGAAGGCAAGAAAAAAAATATGAAGAGCCCCAAGAAAGGAGTGGTTCTTGCTGGAAAATAGGAGTGCAGTAGTGATATTTCTAGCTGCCAGTGTTTCTAGAGCTGTCTTCTTGTCAGGCTCCAGCACATCCTAACCAACACCAAGGGCTTCTACTTCACCTCCCTGAATCCTCACAAGGAGCCTGAGCCCACCCCACAGACAGCAAGCTGAGGTCTGGAGAAGTGATAGAACTTGCCCAGAGTCTCCCTAGGAGGGGGTCGAGCTGTGACCGAGACCCAGGCCTCTCTGTCCAGCTCCACTCTCTCCTTAGGAAACCACACCACCTCCTCCCAGGGATCGCAGCCATTGACCACTTAGGATGGGCCAAGTCCTGACTTAAATGCACTTTTTTTTTTTTAAACAAGGGAGCGTCCATTCAGCCAAGGCATCAAACACAAGTCTCCCATGTGCTTGCTTCTCCACCAGACCCAAAGAATTTTTCAGTGGATCCCAAACCTGAATTTCAAGTGTCCCATCCCCACTCCGCCAAGTCAGGCCTTAGCAAAATGGTCTGTCCCAGCCCAGCCTGGGCCTGTACCTGGAGAGGCAGAGGGCCAACCTTCCTGCCCAGGATTTCTCCGCTTTGTGAAGGGCATCTGAGAGGGCTGGCGGTGACTGGGAAGCAGGAAAGAGCACTGTGGCTGCCACCAATTTCCTGTCTACTCTGTGTCCCCCTGTCCTGAGCCCTATACCAGTGCCACTGCAGGCTCAGGGAACCCCAGGGGGGGGATCAGTCTCTCAAAGGGAAAACAAGGCAGGCAGTTAGAGGCAGACATTGGGTCTCTGTGTCTGTGTACATCCCACATAAGGACCCCCAGGGTACTTCCCCTCTCCATCCAAAACTTCATCTTTTCCCACCCCTGCAGGGAAACAATTGGATACAAAATACCTACTCCACCTGCACAGATGCCAATCAAGTGGTCCCACACCCAGAGAGAAACAGCCCGTTCTACAGAAAAAGGGATAAAAATAAAAACTCCAAGTCCTAGCCAGTCAGGCCCTTTTTGAGCTCCTCCAAAGGAAGCTCCAAACTCTCTGGAGTGTCCTTTCTCTTCTAATAACGGCCCTTGAGCTCTGCTCTACCGCTCGGCCGCTTCTATTTCTTTGAAGTGTACTATCTCTTCTAATAAACTGCTTTTTCACTACTTTGTTTCGGTATCTCATTCAGGTGTTTGCTGGAGACACCAAGGAGCTGGACATCGTGCGGAGAAAGGCCCACTCCCAGGCAACATATTTTGGTGAGCCAGCCAGGAGGTAAGCCCCATCCAGGGGACCTACAAACAAAAAAAATGAAAAAGACCGCCTCTTGCTCATTCTACTCATCTCTTCTGTTCTCTCACCAGCTCGCTGAACTCACAGTGCCTCGTGCTGAGTCCCTGGAGGCGCCATGACTGAGTATAAGCTCGTGGTGGTGGGCGCTGGCGGCGTGGGGAAGAGTGCCCTGACCATCCAGCTCATCCAGTATCACTTCGTGGAAGAGCATGACCCCACCATCGAGGACTCCTACCGGAAGCAGGTGGTCATCGATGGGGAGACGTGTGTGCTGGACATCCTGGACACTGCGGGCCAGGAGGAGTACAGCACCATGCAAGACCAGTACATGCGCACCGGCGAGGGCTTCCTCTGCGTGTTCGCCGTCAACAACACCAAGTCCTTCGAGGACATCCACCAGTACCGGGAGCAGATCAAACGGTTGAAGGGTTCAGACGACGTGCCCATGGTGCTGGTGGGAAACAAATGTGATCTGGCGGCACGCACTGTGGAGTCTCAGGAGGCGCAGGAGCTGGCCCGCAGCTACGGCACCCCCTACATTGAGACCTCGGCCAAGACGCGCCGGGGTCTGGAGGATGCCTTCTACACGCTGGTGCGTGAGATCCGGCAGCACAAGCAGCGCAAGCTGCGCCCGCCGGACGAGGGCTGCACCGGCTGCGTGAGCCCCAAGTGCCTGCTCTTGTGATCCCACTCATCCCCTATGCCCGCCCCTACTTTCTCTTCTAATAAACCGTTTTTTCACTGCTTTGCCTCGGTATCGCGTTCAATTCTTGGCTTGAGACACCAAGGGACCTAGACATGGCGCTGAGAAGGGCCCACTCTCCGGCAACAGGACAGCAGGACTGTCGTGTTCAGCTGCACAGGTTGTGCACTGCACAATTCAAAGAGGTACCATTCCCATGGACTGTGATGAGAAGAATGCCCCTTAAAGGTGTGTTGCATAGTGACCCCGGCTGGTAGGTAGAGGCAGGATTGTGTATGCAGCTGCAGCCTTTTGGTCCCTGTTTAACAGCTGTTGACCAAACCCTACACTGTGATTGTAAGGCCACTTTCTGCTTCCTCTGGGGACGAAGTGGCAGCTATACCTCAGACAATTTCCACATCACACCCTGGGCTACCCACAGAGCCAGTCAGTTCTGCACTTCTGTAACAAAGATGCTGGTACATGAAGGGTTCCAGGAGCAGAGACGCTTAGTGAACTGCCTCTACCTCCCTTCTGGGGGTCCCACAGGTGCACAGGTTCCCAGAGGTCCTGCAGCTCAGAAGCTGGCTCATCTTTCCTTGATGTATTTCCCATACTTCCTTGCAAAGGACCCCCTTTCTGAGGAACACCTTTAAACCACCCCTCCTAGCCCCACACTGGGGGGATCTCTGTGTTACCTGCTTCCTGCACCCAACCAAAAGGTTTTGGTTTTAGGACCCTCTCTGCCCAGGTCAGAGCCCATGTCCAGGCTGGGGGAATTCTGCCTCCTCTCCTCAGTCCAGGCCTCATCCTGCTCCTGGAATAGTTTCATTCCTTTGGGCAGAATGGTCCTCTAGCCATGCCATGCAGATGCTCCAATAAGTTGACCTGAGTTATGCAAACCCCTCAGGGCAAATGAGTCCTTCTGGTCCTTTCTCCTAGGCTGTTGGGGTAAGGGAAGTGAAGAGAGGCCAGGGAAACCTGAGAAACCTCAGGAAACGTGGACACGGAACTGGCTCTCTGTGGTATCTGGCATCAGAGAGGTGGAGGTTAAAAATCCTAGCGCTGCACTCTGCAGTCCTGAGACCTTGGGCAAGCGACTCAACTGCTTGCTCTTGGAGCCTCAGCTCCCTCATCAGTAAAATAGGTATAATAGTACCTACCTGGCTGGGTTTAGGCTAAGTAGACAGAATGGGGGTGGGGTAGCAGTTAGAGATCACACATGTAAAGTGCCTGTGTGTGGCTGGCACTCCATCTGTCTCTCCCTCACCCAGCCCTGTGTCTGGCTCCTGCTGAGACCTGGGTTCAACTGGAAGGCCTTGTTGCTGGGACTGGAGATGTCAGTAGGCCAGAGAGAGAAGGGATGGAGAGAAGCGAGAGAAAGACCAAGACGGGCAGGGAGGGAAGGAAGGACAGAGAGAGAGAGAGAGACAGAGACACAGAGAGAGAGAGAGACAGAGAGAGAATGGCTAGAAAGAACTGATGGAGTGTAGCAATTTTAAGGATACTGAAGAAATGTTTAGAGAGAATCAGAGAAAGGGGAACAAAAAGTCAAGAGACTAACATACACAGAGGGACAGAGAGCACAGGCATAGAAACAGAGAGAGACAAGCTGAGAGGGTCCAGGCAGCAGCAGGGGTGTGGTCACCTGTGGGAGGTCAGGCCCAGCAAACAGGCAGAAGGGGGCCCAGCTCCCACCCCGGGAAGGGGACTGGGGTGGGAAAAGGAACCAGCAGTACTGCCCGGAGGTGGGTACTTTCTGGAGGAGGGGGAGGAAATGGGGCATTAGGACCCCTCAGAGAAGGGATCGGGGTGGGGGGCAGGCTGGGAGCTAGGGACTCTCAGGGAAACGGGGGAGCTAGAAGCCCCTCAAGGAGGGGTTGGGGGCCTCAGCCAGGAGCTGGGAACCCCTCGTGGAAGAGGCGGAAGAACAGCCTGCTTGTTTCTGGACCTCCCAAAGAGGCCAGCTCCTGATTCTAGGGAGACCCTCATTTAGTCAGTCAACAAACACTGACTGAGCACTCGATCAGGCCCAGGACCAGGCAGGGCAGAACAATCGATGAGGCTGGTCCCTGCCCCTTGGGGAGGGCAAAGTTTAGATGAAGGGAGACCTGGGAAACAACACTTCCCACCCTCCAAATTCCCACTCTTGGCCTTGAACATCATCGACCAGAACAAAAGGTGTGTTAGCCAAACTTGGATTAAGCGTTCCTTCTTCCCCTGGGTCAGTGACCTTCGGCTCACCCTTGCCTGAGTCAGCATTCAGCCCCTTCTTCACAGCTCTCTCGAGCATAGGCTGGCCTCAGCGTAAAACATTCTCTGATCTACTCCCCATGACATGCCCCACTTCACACGGGTTCTTTCTAGCTTTGTTTATTCCTCCCTATAAAGAAAACCCCTTTTGCCTAACCCTTGAGAAGCCTGAAGATCTTGTGGTCAGAGCTTTCTCCCTATTGCAGTGGTCTCTCCCCTCCTATTTCAATAATTCCTTCCCCTCCTTGGAATAACCCTTCCCAATAGCCTACACACTCGTTTTTCTTGTTGTTGACATCTGTGAAATTATTTACAATGAAAGACACGTTCACAGTTGAACTAATAAAAATAAATGCGTACAGCAAAAGGAGGTAACTGAATGGAAAGTTATTGATTCACCATTGGCGCTGTTTTCTAACTACCAAGACAAAACACGGGAAAGCAAGGGGCGATTACACTACAATTTTTATCATCTGATGAGAGAAGGATGTCATTTCATCAGGAAGGACTATTTTTTTTCTGGTGCAAAATCCTAAAAAGAACATATGGGATCCAAGTGTACGAGAAAGCTGCAAATAGGGTAAAGGTGTCCAGTAGCAATTTTAAGGAAATTGAACTATTATTGTTCAGGGTTGCCTTACGCTGAGCCAAGGGAATAACAAAAATATGTATGTTTTGCGAAGAGGTTTTTGCAAGAAGGTAAGATGAAACAGTGCTTTCTGACGTGGACCTCGGTATCAGGAATGGAAAATCTACAGGAATGTGGGTTAGTGTGTCCTCAGGACGACTTTTCCCCTATCACGATCCAGCTGAGCTCCTGCCTGTAAATTCAGGGCTGAGGTGCAGCCGCTGCCCAGGCGTCAGCTACTGTTCACCGCAGCAGATAAAGGCCCTCACACTCATCTCAGGGGTCCTTTCAGCCTAGATTAAAAATTCCCTTGAGGACAGAAAGAATGTTCCAAGTTGCAGCACAGGAAGAAGGCCAGGCTGGCCAGGTGGGAAAGGTGACCGCTCTGCAATGGGCTCTGGATGTAAAGTCCAGCCAGGTCAGAGTAGAGAAGATGCTCAGCTTCCCAGCCTCTGTGGTCAAAAGAGAGCCCTCTTTGTCCACCTAGCTACAGTGAGTACGCACGAAGCGGGGTAGGCAAGGCACTGAGGCAGGGCGTTGTTCAGTGCCCATCCTGCCCATGCGTGCTGTGTTGATCATCGAAAAGGACTGGTGACAACTACAACCAGCCTGGAACCCCCACAGAGCACACAGAGAGTTCCATCTCACGAATCAGACTTGATGCTGTGTCTTCCATCATTCTCAGCCATTTTCATTGTCCTGGTCAGGAAAGAGAGTGTAGCAATGACCAGGGTGGCAGCAGCTGTGTAGCTCTAATAAAACATCTGTGCATTCTCCCTCAGGCTCAGCAGGTATGGTTTTTATGTCCTCAGGTGAGAAGGGTCTGACACTGGAGGGGCGGAACCAATTCTTGGGAAGGCCATGAGGGGCTGAATTTCCTAGATGCGCAAGAGCAGCGGGGTCGGTATGGGTTGCAGGTGTGGAAGGAGGCCTGGGATACAGGTATCGTTTATCAGCACCTTGTTAGCAACTCTGGGGCAAAAAGGATTCAATCTATGTGATATGTTGCACAATCTATGCATTGTGATTTGAGAGATTCTAGCATTTTTTTAGGTGCTGAGTGCTTTCCAGGCCTTTTCATTTTTCATTTTTATAATAATAATAACCCTGAGAGGAAGACACCAGTTACAACCTCCATTTAGCAAGGAAAGGAAGTGAGGCACAGAGAGGTTAAGTAACTGGCTCGGGGGGCCCCATTAGTAAGTGACAGGGTCAGGATTCAAACCGGGGACCCTCAGACCCCAGAGCCCATGCTCTCCCCATGTTTAAATCAACGCTTTGCCTCTAGGGCCAGTCTGGCATGACTGTATGTGCCTACTCTTTTTTTTTTTTTTTTTAGGCACAGTTAAGCTTCTTTTTATTTTATTTTTAAAGATTATTTTTTAATTGGGGAATTGGGGGATGGGAACAGCGCTGGGGAATTGGGGGAAGGGGAACAGACAAGTTGCTGTCGTTTTGTTCTTCAGTCTAGTTGTGGAGGACGTTGCTTCACTGGCCCAAGTTGGCACCATCATTGCGCTCTTCCCGGGCGAGACACATCAGTCGCCGGCTTCTGGACGGCCGCTCACTGCGGCTGCTGGCCGCTCACGCTGGCTGCTGGCTACACATGGTAGCCCATGGCAACCCACTGCCACAGGGGCTGCAGCCTACGCCGTCGCCGGCGACTCACGGCAGACCAGCTCCAGGTTGAGCTGTTGTTCAGCATCTTAGCTGTGGAGGGCAGTGTCACTGGCCCTCATATGTGGGATCCGAACGGGGGCCCCTCTGGCGTCCCAAGTCAGTTCTTAACCATCGCGCCACTCGGCCGGCCCTGTATGTGCCTACTCTTGGAATCAAAGCTTGGAAACCCTTCAGCCTCCAGGTTTGGATGGCAGCGCCTCCCAGTTCCTAGCTGAGTCAGCCGTCCCATCCTGCATTGGGGCAGAGAGCTGGCCTGATGTCGGCAGACACAACATCCCCGATGCATCTGCCTTAATGAAAGGAGCACTGAGGGGGAAACAGAGCAATGACAGAAGCAAGCGGCTGAGTGCAATTCCTGGCAGAGAATCTGCCTTGTCTGTCACAGTAGCAGAAATGTGCAGACAGAAACCTCGCGGGCCTCACCACAGGCGGAGGTGACAGC